TCAAAAACAAATAATAAAAAAACAATAAAAAAATATATATTTATTAAAAGATATATTTTAATTGCGCGCGTCTGGGGATTTTGATATATCCTCATCAGGTTGCCGGTGCTGATTCGAAATGGTCAACGCTGATGGCTGAAGTTGTCCTGAAAATGGCGGCGCCAATCAGAAAGCGTCGTTCTCCTCGAAGCTGACGCACACGCACGACAGGTAGGTTTTCCCTCTTTAATGCCGCATGTGTTCGAGGGCGGTTGTTTCTCCCGTTTAATGTCATGTATCCCGCTGTCAAAATTTCGTGTCGTGCGAACTGGTGCTCGAACTGGTACTCGTTACGATAAACGTGTTATATGTTAACGTCACTCGGACTCGGTAGAGATGGTGAATGTAGATACCATACGAAGGAATTATCCGCTCCACTGGCTCGTCTGGCATAACAGCTATGCCGAACTCGACAAGGAACTGTCGACAAATAAGGTTTGGTCATCGGCCCACTCTTTAACAGGCCCGTCTCATTTGATTATTAATCAGAATTGTGTCACGAGGTGTCATAGCACGTGATCGACGCGAATTGTGCGAATTTCGTCCGTGTGCATTTTACCTGCGCTCGCAATTCCGTCCTGGCGAGATATGTCCATGTATCGTATCGCGGCTTATCCGCGATAACGGGTTTTGCTCACGTAATTGATATTGTACAATGAGCGATAATTGCGTAATTGTTCACTGCAGATCAGTACAATGATGAGGTACATATAAATATGTTTGTCCATTTGGCGGCTTGTGTGAGTGTCGCGTTCATCTGAAAAATATTTCTAATGCAATTTTCTTCAAACATTCTTTCGCGCTATTGTTATCGTAATTATTAAATATTTCCCGTCGAATGCGGATTAAATTCTCTCCAGTCTGTCAATATGTTAATTGATAAATGTTAATTGATATAGAAAAAAAATTGCATGTCTTGAATAACATTTCTGAGAAAAAATATTGAAGCAAAAAGGTTAAAAGTGATTGTATTTTACAATGTCTATATTTATAATTAATGACAAGCTCAAATAAAAAAAAGATCTATGTGCATAAACATAGGAAAGAAAAGGAAAAGATCAGATATATTTTATTTTGCACTGACAAAGTTAATATGTTTGTAAGGAATAGTTGTACAAAAAGATGATGTAACAAAAACAAGAATCTTTCCTATTAATTGATTATTTCTCAATGCAAATTCATTATGTTTTTTTTAAATTAATTGTAAAAAGTACATTAAACTTTTACATTTATAGTAAACAATATGCAAATATTATTAATCATAATTTAGCATAATTGATAAGACAAAGTAATTTATATGATTCATCTTTTTATACTATTTTATCATGTTTATGAAATTGTAAGTTTATAAGTTATAAATTTATGACTATGATTATGCAGTCAAGTCAAGCTTATAGCATTAATATAGGTTAAAAAAGAAACCTTTCATAAAAAAAGAGAAACCTTAGACATGTAGATTCCCGATATGTCTATTGAAGCAGAATAAAGCAACCTAATAATCAGCACTTTATAATATGGATATGACATGTTCTTTATCTATTTTAATTTTTTATAATTTTTATAAATACGAAATGAATATATATATATATAGATATATAGAGCAAAAGAAAAACCAGATATATTACTGTAATAATTATTATTTTTTAAGTTAATCTAATATCTAAATATTTTCCACAGTATGACATAGAAAAACATGATAATCGAGGAAGAACACCATTGATGCTAGCGGTAACTTTAGGTCATATAGATTCTGCTGTAGTATTGTTACAGCATGAAGCCAACGTTAATACAGAAAACATTCAAGGATGGACTGGTAATTTGCCTTTACACTTTCTATTTAATCTATAATCAAACATTTGTCAAATTTTATTTGGGAACTTTTGTTGAAATATTCAAATGATTGAATCATTTTGTTTTGATGTAGTGGTTCAAGAAGCAGTTGGCACAGGAAATCCTGAATTGCTGCAACTGATACTTGCTAGGAGAGATTATCAAAGGTATTGCAATCGAGTGGCTGGTATACCTGAGCTACTTCACAAACTTAAGCAGGTCAGTTTTATATATCTTATATCTCTTAACAAGTAATAATATATCTTGTTAATTCATTATGTACATGATTCTCACAATATCTGTCTTGTTGAGAAAAGAATTCTTTTCTGCGAATTCCATAAGCTAATTAACCAATGTCATTTCATGTGCAAAGTCTATTATGTGACAGCTAATGATATTGACCTTCTTGTATTCTCTATTGTTAATCTGATGGTCATAGTAACAAAGATTCTTTTCAGGCGCCTGATTTTTATGTAGAAATGAAATGGGAATTTACTAGTTGGGGTAAGAAACAAAAATTTAATTTGTTTTTGATCGAAATTTTCGAAATCTATAGTTTAATATATAGTTTGGATCTAATTTACACATGTATCTAATTCACTTTTAACAATGTGTGTTTAAATGTCATTATTTCTGTTGATTAGTTCCTCTCGTATCTCGGATGTGTCCAAGTGATACGTATAAGATTTATAAACAAGGTAGTAATGTGAGGATTGATACTACTTTATTAGGCTTTGATCACGCAAATTGGCAACGTGGTAATCGAAGCTATGTTTTCAAGGGACAAAGTAAGCACAAATATCTTCACGATAAATGTATCTCAATGTTGCTAATATTTGTGCACGAGTATCTTACAGCTTAATTTTTTAATTGCAATTCATTTTCATGGTAATTTTAGCAATGTCAATTATTTGTTTTTATTTTACTAAACTCTATGTGTTAATGCAAGTTGTATTATTAAATCCATCTATGATAATTAAATATGAATTGTGTTCAATTTGAATAGTCATTTATTTGGATTTAATTCGTCCGCTACATAAAATTTAGTAAAAAAGAAAACATTTTTATATGCATAAACATAAGAAATTTTTCTTGATACTAATATATTTTTTATTATATTTCAATTTCTTTAATTTTTTTTATGTGTTTATAATTAAATTAAAAATAAGTAATAGCAATCAAGATATTATTTTTATACCATGTATACATATTTATAAAATATATACACACATATGAATAATAAGAATTTTTTTCTTGAATGTAATAATTGAATGTGTTAAAATAATTTATAAAACTTACATATATATTTTTTGCAGATGATGGGGCAACAATGATGGAGGTAGATCACGAAACAAGAAAAGTTTACGTTGAACATATGAAACTTATAGCAGATGATAGTATACAATTAATGGAACCATCTGAAGAAGGCGTGATAGCTCGGCTTACTAATCCTATAGTAACAACATACATAGATACAGATAAAATTAGTTTTGAACGGTAATTATTTATCATTATATTTAATAATTACAATAATATATGTATATATAACATGCATTCATTTCGATAATATTGTTCATATTGAATTAGCAATAAAGCAGGTTTATGGGGATGGCGTTCTGACAAAAGTGAAATAATAAATGGTCACGAGTGTAAAGTTTTTAGCGCAAGTAATGTGGAATTAATAACTAAAACCCGATTAGAACACTTATCTGAAGCAGATAAAGCAAGAGCTCGGGCACCGAGAACACCTTTACAATCATTTCTTGGTATTGCAGAACAACAGCAGGAAAGTTGCAGCACTATTGCCACAAGTGTAATCTTTCTTTTCGATATAATAATTTGATCGATAATCATGTAATTAAAATATATTAATCAAAATATGTATTCTAGGAAGAATTTAATAGTGTTGGCAATTCTTCTAACATTACTGCCGAGGAATATTTTGATTCAGACATTGATTTAAATGGAAGAGACATAGGTAGACCAAAAGAAGTTAATACAAAAATACAAAAATTTAAGGTATTGTAGATCGATTAGAAAAAAATTATATTATATTAATATTAATTGGGGCAATTTTTTATATTCAGGCAACTTTATGGTTAAGTGAGGATTATCCATTGAGTCTTCAAGAACAAATCATGCCAATTGTAGATTTGATGGCTATATCTAGTTCCCATTTTGCAAAATTAAAAGATTTTATTCAAATGCAACTTCCAGCTGGTTTTCCCGTTAAAATTGGTAAGAAATTAACTTGAATGATAGATGTGCTGCAGTATCAAATATAGTATATATTACTAATGATCGATTCTTTTTTAGAAATTCCATTGTTCCACATTCTCAATGCGAGAATAACATTTGGAAATATATTTGGTTTAGATCAAGAAGTACCGCATGTTGCTCATTTCCAAGAAACGAATCGTATAGCATGTTTAGTTGATGATATTTGTTTCGAAACACCTAGTGGATATGCCAAATTAGGTAAAATTTTTGTTTCTTATACATATGCATATGTCATCAATTAATATATCAATTTGCTAAATTCATATATTAATTGAATATAGGAGCGGAAGTTAGGACACAATTTAGTATTGAAGAAGAAGACGATTTATTACAATTCGCTATTCAGCAAAGTCTTTTAGAAGCTGGCAGTGAGCGTGACGAGGTACTTTTTCCATTTTTATTTTGCTTTATAATTATCGCGATCTGTAATATAAATCATGTATGTGTGTAGTACGTGTAATATTCATTTTGCTCTGTTTTATACGAAAAATATTATTTTACATAGGTCGATATATGGGAAGCATTAAGAGCGCAAAAACCATCTAGACCAACTACACCTAATATGACCACCGAAGAAGAAAGGCAGCTGCAGAGGTATGCAATAATATACATACTAAAGAGAATGTTTTCAATGTTTGTATTTTCACATTAATTTTATCATTGAAGTTTCATTATTAATTTTGCATGTATTTTTGTGCTACAATTCATGTTCAGACAGGTGGGTAATTCTATTGTAAATATTAATTTCGGGTAATTATTCGCACGCCAGAAACTACTCGTATGTAAACTAATATAAATTTTGAGTGTTTAAATTACAAAGCATTTTAAAAAGCTTTGGAACATATTATTGAGAAAATTACTTAAATAATTTTTTTTTTTAATATAGAGCAATTCAGGCTAGCCTAGTGTTATATCAAGAAACTACTGGCTCTACTGAAGGTACTGCGAACTCAGGTATAAATGAGAGCGAAGATAGCGATTCTCTTGAAGATACTGCAGAACAATTGAGATTAGCATTAAAACTTTCGGAGCAGCAACAAATAGAAGAGGAACAACAGCGATTGTTGGAGGAAGAAACATTTCGTCATGTGCTGGAGCTGTCTTTGACGGACAAGTAAATTTCCAAAGTGTGTAATAGTGATAAAAACAAATTTATTACAGTATACTTCCAAAAAAGTGAAAATTCTTCCAGTCTCATCAAGAAATGGGACTGTACAAAAAATCATTTCCTATATTTCATAGATATTGCAAAGTGCATTAAGGAGTAATAATATTGCTTACGATAAACACTTGTTAAAGATATAATTAATACAAGTCATGGAAATAGTATAGCGGTAGTTAAGCAAATGAATAATTTAAATTATGTTATTTATTTCTTAGCTACATTTTATATGAAACAAAATTCTTTAATACTATAGACATCTCAGCAGGTGCATAATGAAGTCTTGAAAATTACAATTGCTCTTTAAAAATGATACAGTCACTCGACAAACAATCAAATAGTGTTTGTGTAAATCCTATTAATTGAAAGTAAATAATGTAAGTTACGAATGTTAATATCTAGAATAAAATGGCATGTAATTCTCAAGTCTTCAAAAATTATTCGTCTGGTCCTATCTCCTCAGTTTCAATTTCTACTTCTATAAACTTATAAGTGCAGATTATATAATAATTGCACGTAGGATAATACAAAAAGATAATCATCTTTAATCAAATTAAACATTTTTACACAGAAAGATTCCTTTTCATATCTACTTACAAAAATATAATTCTATGTAATTGCATTTTAATGCAATAGTATATAATGAATTATTAGGAATGTACAGGATATATTTACAAAAGAAGTATTAAAACCTCCTTTCAAACTTTTATATAAAAAATAAAAAATGTAAAGTTAATACAGAAATTTACAATATGTTATTCATTATTTCAGATAAGTAAATTTTATTTTTATATGTTATTTCATTAGTAAGTTATTAGAAAACGAGGTTTGAATACGATTTACATATGTACTTAAAAGAAAAAAATCTTTCTTATATTCTATTATTTTTATTAAAAGAAAAGTGGTTATAAATGCATCACAAATACTTTTTGTGTTAAGATCAGATAATGTATTATCGTTATCGGAATATTGTTAAAACATGATTATATTTTTCTTGTGGGCATTATAAATGAAAAAAAAAAAATCTGCAGTTATATAAGAAATGTATAAGTATAGTTACGCATTCATTCACCAATATGTAGAAAAATAACAAATAAGAAATTACTCCCTGATGACGTAATAAAAGTTACCAGCAACGGAATTATTGGAAGAAACGGCAGTCGTTTGACTGCCACATTCTTGCTATTCAAATTCCGATTGTGCCCTGAAATACAATTAAAACCATAAGCAGAAACATTATAATTTATCAAAGAAAAGTCTATATCGACCGACATCTTTTATACAAACTTTGTAAAAATAGTGCCAAGTATATTAGCACTCTGTAAATAACGTTGTTCATTTTTATGCGCTTGCTTATGCCATTTTTTGCGTATGGCATTCCACCGTACAATATGGTCCTTCATTAATTCCTCTCGCGACTTGAGAATCTGTCCGTCCTGTAATTATGTTATATAAAATTTGTATCCATTATAATTATTAACACAGAAAATATGTGCAATATACAATCTTCTTATTTTTAACACTTTAATATGGCGTTTGTGAATTGTTTTAATATAAATTCATTCATATCATCTATTTGTGGAAATTATTGAGACTCACGTAATCTAAGTTCAAATCATCCTTATCTCCAAGTATAGGGGATGGAACACGATTTCTTGGTATTGCCTCTTCACGAGGCAAAGGTGGTGGCAAATAATGGACATCATTTATTTCACCATCAGCATTAATTAAATTATCTGTTATGCTAATTTCATTAATTATTTCTGGACTTGGACTACGCACCCTATTTACAAATCAATGTGTTTAGTTCTTTTTGGACATGTAGAGTCATATGCAAGAGAAAAAAAAATATTTTCAAGAGTACTTTTATGACAATTTCATTTAATTACTATTTAAACATATTGTATTTTATAAATTTATTATATAAATTGTTAAATTATAATGAGTAAAAAAGACTGAATTATAATTATAGAATATTATAACTTTTATATACATATAGAATACAAATGAAAAATTCTATATTTTAAAATAAGATAATCCAAGAACTTTAAAACAATGAATATGAATGTAAGAAAAATGGACAATATTTACATAATTTTACTTACTTGGGGACTAAATTAGGGTTTCTTGGTTGATTAGCCATCCAAGCACGACATATTGGATAAAGTGGCGTGTCCTCTTGAAATTGAGCTAAATCAACACTACGATCAAACAGTTTCATTACGTATGTATGATGAAATACTGTGTCAGCCTGTATTGGTCGACGACGTCTAACTTTCCGTGGTTGTTGAGGATTAACAGATTTCGTCCTATATATTACAATAAATAAATAAAAAAATTAGTTGACTGGAATAAGTAATTATAACAGGATACTGATAAGGCTTACATTTTTTTTGTGGGAAATTTATAATCCTGAGAGCTATCATCACCCGAATCAGATGTACTTGTATCACTATGTTGTAACAATTCTCGAAGAGCACCTTTTAATCGATCCCTTGCTATAACAACATCGCTATCCCCTATACAAGCATATACTTGATAATATTCAATATATCAATATAATTTGTAATAATATATTCCTTATTATATATCATTACCAATTTCATCTTTTATTTCCACTTTTATCCGTCCTGGCATTATTGGTGGTGGCTGAATATTTCTTTTCTTTCCCATCTAATTCAATATTATCACAACTATGATGTACATAATTATTACACGATATTAATTTATCACAATCTTATCATAATATTAACTTAATTATGTGTACAATAAAAACTATGAAAATATTTGCTAATATCAATTTACTCGGATTAATCAATAGTAAAATAAATTTACATTACGTTTAATAAACGTGAGAACTTACTCTTTATGACGCTAGGGACACATAGGAAATTATTTAATATGTATATGTAATATGTAGTTAATATATTAAATATAAATTCACTGGAATTTTTCTTAGTTTATATTCGTGACCCTGCACAAAAAGTGTAATTAAGTTGTATCTTTTGTACTGTCAAAACAACAAAGGATATTAAATCGCAGGTTTTATCCTTTTGTTTAATTCACATTTGAAAAATAACTATTGTTACTCACAACCGTTCGCTAAACACCGTTCTTATGTATCCTTCCAATCGTTTTTTAAAACCATTTAAAACTGTTTTTTCAAAATCGATCATTCAGCCGTCGACTCTCTGTTAACCTAACCTATACAAATTGTTGTTCGCGTCTGCGCAGTGGAAGTCAGTTTTTGCAGCTGCATTGCGCGATGCTTTCTACACTCGAAATGAAATGGATACGTCATTAGAAATTATCGATAGAAAAAGAGAAAAGATATGAACGGTACAGAAAGTTCAGAAATTATAATCTGTTCTTTGTAACTGCACCACACCGTACTTTCTGCACTCAAAGTTTAAGCAATGTGTTTACTACCTGATGTATAATCGTAACGTCAATCATTACTGACAAAATGCTTTTACTGCAGATAAAAAAGAATTATCTTCACGGATTTATTACGTTAAAACGTATTAGTCCAAATAATTGAAAAAAATTATACAGATATTGAATTTATTTATGGCCATGGTTGTGATATTGTAAGAGGACAGGATGTTTTGGAAACTATCTGTTGAAATTCTCTTACTTTGTATGGTAACTGTAGATATTTCTCTTGCTTCTGATTATGTTAAACGTAATGATAGCTACAAATGTAAATTGGGATCGAAAACTCCATATAGATGTGTGGCCAATCTTGATGAATCATCGTTGAATTATCCAGGTATACTTATTGCAATATATTTATTCACCTCTGATTTATATATTTAATATGCTCTTTCTAATGATTTGGTACATTTATAGATTGCGTGGAGAAAAAAATTTGGTTGATTCTGCGCCATGGAACTCGATATCCAGGCAAGAAATATGTGCCTCGTATGATAGATGATTTGCCAGAGCTGCAACATGTGATATTACAAAATTATGAAAATGGCGCAACGAATCTGTCAGCCGATGACGCGGCATTGTTTAAGAAATGGAAATTATCATTTGCTCGTGGGCAAATGATGAAACTGGCAGTAGAAGGAGAGAATGAGATGATTGATCTTGGAGAAAGATATCAGGCAAGATTTCCATCTCTAATGCCAGAGACTTTCGATAATCAGACATATAAAGTATGTACAAAATAAACTATAAAAATCTGTCAAATATGCATTTTATATTTCTTAATATTATTAGCTGAATTTTAGATTAGATTCACTTCTACACAACGTACTGAAGAAAGTGCAAGACACTTTGCTATTGGCTTATTTGGTTGGCATAACAGCAAAAATATTCGATATCCATTACCAGTGTACAAAGATCGAGTGATAAGAGTAATATTCCATTGTTTTTGAATTTACTTTTTTCTTTTTCTAGTTCATTAGATATAATTATTTTGTATTTTTATAGTTTTATAAGGTTTGTCCTCGTTGGCGCCAAGAGGTTGACAAGAATCCAGATGCACAGTTAGAGAAAACTAAATTTCTGAACAGCAAGATTGTTAGAAATATGCTGGTTAATATAAGAAAACGCATTGGTCTTGATATCGATTATGGTTTGTACTTATCAAATCCATTGGTGTAAAATTGGATGAATGTTGCTTCATTGCATTGTTTCTCTGCTAATTGCATGTTTCAGAAACTGCACATTTAATGCATACAACATGTGCTTTTGAGACTGCTTTAAATGAAAGTATAGTGTCTCCTTGGTGTAAAATATTTTCATTAAATGATTTTAAGGTGAGATCTAGATTAAAAAAAATGCTTTTTATTTCCAAATGGAAACATTTGATTAAATTTAATGTGCATCTAATTCATATTTTACTAGGTGTTTGAATATGCAGAAGATTTAGAATTCTATTGGATTGATGGATATGGATATCCATTGACATATGAACAAGCATGTCCTGCCCTGAAAGACATGTTTGATTCCTTTGGGTATGCAAATTTATGTGCATCGCAAATAATAAATTTAATTAAAAGTTTTTATTTTCTCATTGCAGTCTTTTATTGAATTACAAAAATAAACATGTTAATTTTGTCTTGCACATATATATCGAAGATTTTAATTAATAATTAGAAAGACTGCAGTTTTAATTTTTTATAAATTCGCAGAAATTAATTTTTCAATTTAATTTAATTATGTTATCCTATAATAGTGGAAAAATATTATTTCACAGATCTGAGAAAGGACCACTGACAACAGCTTATTTCACTCATTCTGGTACGATTTTGAAATTAACAGCCTTACTCGGAATAGCCAAAGACGCATATCCTTTAACGCACGACTCTTTCGCACTACGCGAAAAAAAAGATAAACGAGCCTGGAGAAGCAGTATTATTGATACATTCGCATCCAACCTCGCATTTGTTTTGTATGAGTACGTACAAATTTAAAAATTATGGAATTACATGCATAATTCATGTGTAATTACATTTTTTTCAGTTGTGAATATTACGGACCCAGTATTCTATTCATGCTTCAGGAACGACCGGTATATTTACCAGGTTGTCCAAAAGATAGACCATGTCCACTGAATATTATGAAAGCGATGTATCCAGATCGTGATGAAGAATGTCAGTTTGATGCTATGTGCCATGTAACGAAACAAGACAATTAACACAAAAAATATTTTTATAACCAAAATACAGATATATTATTTTTTCTTTACATATATCTAAATAAAAATATATAATTAAGTTTGTAAAATAAGATATTTTTCTATGAGAAGTCTTAAGTCTGAGACGTACCTGATCTGTTTTGTGATGAATTCAGAGTCTATGTTTTTTAAAATGTACATTAAAATAGATTTATTTTGATTATCACTATGTACATAAATCATTAATAAACTTAATCACACTTCTATTTATTTATGTGATGACAAATATTTTTATTTTTATAAATGCAAAATTCTTTTTTTGCGCACAATAATATATTTATCTGTAGAAATGAGGTATATGGAGTGATATAAAATGTACATTGAACAATTTTAATGTTGATTTTTTTATAACTATATAAATAATTATTAAGGATTATTGAGTGATTAACAAATTTTTATACAAAATATTAATTACATTTCTTTTTAGACGAGATTATTTTTCAATGTGTGTATAATGGTAATACAAGTTTATAATTAAATACGAAGATTTTCTAAGCGATTACAGAATATATAAGAAAAGAAATATCTTCAGCGGAATTACATTTGTCAGTAAAAAACGATATAATAAATTTTAAGTCATATTCTAAAATGCATAATAAATGCAACACTCGTAGTTTTACATCATCCGAATATTTAATAAAAACTGAAATACTTTCCGCAATTTTATTTAAAAACTTGATGGATGTACCTTTCTTATGACTTTTTATTACAAAATCAACTTAAATCAAAGAGCACTGTCTTCTAATGAATTATTTATATCGTTTCTGTCATCTCCAATCATGTCCTGCAATAAAATACATACAACATGTAATTACAGAATAATTGTGTGGAATCAATATAACAAAGATGTAATATTACCTGCAGCACTTCAACGAGTGCTCTTGTCTCATCCAACATTTCTTTATATAAACGATTTTCTTCTTCTAATTTTTCAAGACGTGTTACAAGTTCTTTATTTTCTTCCAAAGCATCTTTAAGTGCTATTCGTCTTCTTTCAGCCTGGACTTGCCAGTAATTTTCACTAGGACCAGCTAAATCTGTAATAAACGTTTTAATAAAAAAAATTCATATATTTTTATACTCATTTTAATTTTTAAAAATATGCATTACAAAATAAAAAATATAAGCATACCTGTGGACGTTAAGTCTTCAACATCAATTCTTTCTTGTGCAGTTTGAACAGCCTTGTTGCTGGTCGTCACTTTTTTTTGTTCTTTAGGAATATCTTTTTTTGTTTTTGCAGGTACATTTCTGAAATATATACAAGTTTGTTCAGAAAATTATTTCACAAATTTTCATAAATTTTCTAATCATTGACAAGTGATTTTTTTTTTATACATTTCATCAGACATACTTAATATGAATTAAAAAATATATTTTTTTATATATTCTTTATTTATCAAATAAAAATGAAAAAGAATTGAAACTTACTTTTTTTGGTTTTTGCTTTTTTCACTTGTTGAGTAGATTTAATCATCCTATCAGCACCAACCAAGGTCTCTTTATCAACAGCTGATGGCTGCAGTTCATGTAAAGATTTTCTAACTTTATCCTTTAATAGAAAGAGAAAAAAATCACAACATATATTCACAGATTATTTTATTTATTTTACTTATAAATATATCATATTAATTCTATATTTTATTTCTCAAATAATATCTGTAATACAATAATTTCTCAAATAATTACATAATCTTCTTCTAGAAAAAAGACTATTATTTATGTATATTATAGATATTTTTTGAAATACATTTATTATCAATTTTTTTGTATAGTATAGTGCCATATATTAAAAAAAAACAAAAACAAAAAAAACAAAAAAAACAAACAGAAATATAATGGATATATAATCAAATATGAACATTTTTTACATTACAAAGCAGATAACTCTCAGGACTCTAGGGTAAAAAAATGAGACAATTTTCTATGATAATAAATCAATTATAAAAATCTATAATCAGTTAATTTTGATTAACAGCAATGACAAAATTAATGAACTGAAATTTAGACTCATTTAGAGTAGTCAACACACTTGATTATTTGTGCACGTGATATTCTTTGAAATCTCCTTTCGCTATACATAGATTGAAGATTGATAAATAGAATTGAAGAAATGACCTTCCGATCTCGTGTACTCTGATCGGAAGTATTACACTCAAGACTGTAAATGTATTGTAAGAATATTTTTATAACTTTTTGTCAAGAAGAATATGAACTTTTGTTGAACAGTTTTGAGAAGAGGATTATCTAAGAAGAAAAATAAAAATTATCTAGAAATAGAAATGTAAACACACTAACCTCAGCAATTGTTTCGGCGCCAGTAGTCGGTTTCATCCTACAAGACAAAATAATTCAAGATCCAAAAAAAGGAGGATAACGATTCGATCGACACACGGAGAAAAAACGGTTCGAGTTCACTCGAATGAAGTTTTAATCTCAGGCGATTTTCTGATCACGCGGTTCTTGATAAATTTTTTGGCTTCAAATGCCTGACCGGTCAAGATCAACTGTATGGCGGGAACTGCGAAGTTAGAAACGCCTCAGAAAAACACAGTTATAGATTAGCGAATGATTTCGTAGCGTGGTCGCGAAGAGATTTGAGATTAAGTGAGACAGATATACATGCGGGCGTTGGAGAAAGAACGAGCGAGAAAGGATAGAGTGCAGGAAGTGCAATCAACGCGACAATCTGTTAAGCTTAAAGCTGATTCGCTGTGTATATGCAGTACCAAATGGTGGGAGAGTGTCTGACGCATGCGCAATAGTATGAATCCTTCCCCCTCCCTATAGCGATCTCACTCAACATAGGATTGACTTAGGCCCTGCGCGTAATGAAGAAAATGTTAGAAACAGAAATAAATATTAAATTTTGAAAATTAAAATTTGCAATGATTTGCAAATATTTATTTATTGCATTAACATTCATATTTTGTGTGATGTAATTTGCAATTTATATCATTTCTTATATTTTTTTCGGATATTAATAAGGTTTTTGTAGTTTCTTTTACCCTTGCAACGACTCTGTTTGTCCTTGTATAAGTCAGTTATATAGACAAAGAATTAATATAGTGTATTATTACTTTTTATTCTAAAATGCATTACTTAATTAATAAATATCTATATATAATTTTTTATTATTTCCTTTCTTGATTCTCTTTATTTCGCAAAAAT